CCTCTCAAATCTCACCGAGCAGATTTACTGCAGCTTGCATTTGTTTTGTCCTCATGCGGTCCTCCTGTCATAAATAAACCACGCTGGTTTCTGTATGTGTTCATCTGCATATGTGTGTGTGTGTGTGTGTGAGCTTGTAGAACGTTTATTTGTTTAGAACCCAAAAACAAGCTGAGCGTTGTCCAGTCGTAGGCTTCGAGCCAGAACGCTTCCTTCACTCAGCAGGCTTTATTGTTCTTCAGACTCTCTCTCTCCGCAGCAGGAGGATGTTGTCTGTTTCTTGATTCTCTTACGGGCCCCTCTCGCCACACACACACACACACACACACATACAAACACACACACACATACCATTCATGTGGGAAAGAATGGGCCCAGTCTGGATTAGGCTATTCCCCTGCGTAACACTAGACAAGGCATTCAATATCCCCTGCTCTCTCTGTCCAAACAGTATCTTGGCACAGGCTGAGTGGAGGCTGGAAAATCCCAGAGCTGCTGCTGAGTTTTTGGTGTGACCCACTCTTTTATTATAACGACTCAATAAATGCTTACAGACCCTCAACTTGGCCATGTCCCTGGGAGGGGCTTTTCAAAAAAGAGCCGTTACACATGACGGAGACATGATGTACACATGACGCATCACCGAAAGCACACATAGCACACAAAGCAACTCCCCGAAGAGGTGAAGACACAAGAAAAACACACACATGGACTATTCATTCTTTCGCTGTGGCCACTTTTCTCCTCAGGAGTCGAGCAGTGGCAGCTGGGAAAAAGACAGCTGGGACACACACGCACATACATAATTTCTCATGCACCCTGGAAAGAAAATGATCAGTGATGTGGGAGGAACAAGTGAGAAGTGGGGAGAGGTGGCGGAGCAAGCAGTTCAGTGAGTTTATAGGAAGACGTCAAGCTCGACAGATTTTCTTTTACTGCATCCGTCATTTGTGCGAGGCTAATGGCGGCCATCAAAGCCCCCAGGGACCCTCACCTTGTTGTAGTGCTCAGAGCCACTTAACCCACGGCCTCAACGGTCTTGGAAACGAGAAGTGAAAAATCTGTGGGTTTTTTTCCTCCCCCACTCCACGTCCCAATCCTCCGTCCCCCCCCCCCATTCACATCTGGAAAATCATCATCTGGCAGCTCACGGTGAAGGCAGTTTAGATACTGTCTGACTTTTCTCTCCCTTCTCAGCCTTTACTCCTTCAACACATTCAGGTTCCTCCCGTGTCTTTTTTTTTTCTACTTTCACTTCAACAGTTTTCACGTCTTTACATGGATTCCCTTTTCTGTCGATGTGTGTTTTTCTATGAGTCTGCTGGCAAAGTTTTGCTGCTCTTTGTTTTGCACCTTATTCTCGTCTTCATGTGTCCTTTTCTATTCTAAGGAAGTCGCCAAAGTCACACCTCTAATTTAAACTCTTGTTGTTGTGCAAAGCTTGACACAGAAACTAAAAGAAAAGTAACTTTAACATATTTGACATTGTGGGGGAAAAAAATAAATGTAATTTTGGATTCATTATATGAGTAAATCAACACCACTCTCATGTCTGTTCCTTCAATGTTTCACTACTGAAGATATAACATAAACGAATTACAGTGGTTTTATTTAAACGATTTCTAGGCTGGGTACGGTTGTCTAGCAACCTGCTGAGACTCAACAAAGCTAGTTATTTCTACTTTTAGCTCTGATGATTTGATCTCCACCAACTGGACTTTGCTATTGAGGCTCCAGCCCCCGATCACTACTGTGCAGTCTACGAATGCATAAGATCGTTCATATCTGGGACACACAAGGAAGTGGAGACACATTGTCCAGATTTGCTGTCATTGCCCTAGACATTAAATTGCCACACACCCTAACTCGAACATGCAAATGGTCCATGAAGCAACCACTACTCAGCACATATCACTTTAAAATTATATGTTTTATTTTGACTGGTTAAATTACTAATCTTTCATACAACAAAGTACATGCATCTTAATTTACACAATGTATAGTACAGATCAACATATGACCACTCCTGGACCATAATTCATCATTCATTCAACTCCTGACATGTACGAGAGGGGCCCCTCTCCATCACAATATATAACATCATACGATTGAATCTGCAAATTAAAAAAAATATTTAACCTATTTCATAATCATGCAACATTTTCAAAATCACATCCTGTATCTTAAACGTGATACATAAAAAAGATAAGCCTGGTGATACATTTTAAGGCTAAGGGCCCCTCACTGGCTCCAGAGCCCTGAGAGTGTGCCCATTTTGTCTGTGTGATAATCTGTCATTGGACGAGAGCAGTAACACTAAACCCTTACAGTCAAGTCGAGGGTCGTAAAACCGAAACAAGCTGAAAGCTGCTGGGACCAGCAGAGTTGAGTGACAGTTCTCTGAGGGGTTTGTCACTATGAGAAACTTTTCTCACTCCACATACAGTCATCTGATAAACTGTTAATAAAATATGTACAGTACAGGAGCGCAGCTTTAAAGATGTATATTAGCATGGTCTTTCAAATTGAATGGAGAAAAAAGTGACATAACTGAAGAATATGGGTTTGTTCGATAACATTTTAAAAAAAATGTTTTAGTATGGCACCAAATCATAACATACATTATCTCAAGGCACTTTAAATATTCGTCAAGGCCATGATCTTAATAATTATATAAAAACCCAACAGTTCCCACAATGAGCATCACTTTGGCAACCGTGGAGAAAAACTACTCTGTTGTTATGTCTCCTACACGACTTCTATAATGGATAATCAAAGTAAAATTGTCTTTTTATTTAATAGAAGAAAAAATAAACGCTTGTCACATAAAATCTGGATGGTGGTCAAAATCCAGAGGGTTTTTTTTGACCATTTGAAAATACTTCTACTAGAAACTGTACAAATGATCAGGTTTTATGTCCAGTTAGATACAAAACACATTCTCAATTTTTGAATTTCATGGCATCTTTAAGCTGTAACAACAGCCCATTGTGTCCCTCTTCCCAAAAATATGCCTGCATTTCTCCAGACATCTGTGAGCTTCAAAAGATGCACGTGTGGTTACAGGAAATGTATTCCAAACTAACAAACAAACTGCTGTTGCTTCACTTTCTGAACAGAATGAAAACGTAAAAAATAAAAAAATAAAAAAATAAAACATTGCCATGGAGTGGTCATACATGGGTAGAAACAAAAGATTTAACTGCTGATTGAAAACATGGCGATGCATTTAATAAACAGGCTGAGTTCTTTGTCTTTATCAAATTTAATAGTAAGATAATTTCCTCTTGAATAACAAACAAAATAAATGTTTCATCAAGAACATGCAGGATGAATAGTTAATTCCTCTCCCTCTTTTCTTCTCTCCTTAAAAGGCACTTGAGGATAATCATTATTCATCATAATTACTCATCTCCTCTCCAGTCAGTGTCTCGCTCTACTCCCTCTGTATTTGTTTGATTTGGCCAATGACGTGCTGTGAAAGCGATCCTTCCCAGTGAGGCCAGTCATGGTCGACCACTTTGACTCCCCTAAGTAGAGCAAAGCAAAGCGGAGCAGCCACATCTGGCAAACGGGCCTCACATCTGGTTTGCGTATCAGCTCCTTTTCACGGCCGTCTACCACGGCGTCTGATAGTGTACCTCGGAGACATGAGATGAGCTGCAGACACTCTGCTCAGGGGGGAGGTGTGCTGGACGGCTGCGAGCGAGTTGGTGTTCAGGGGTCAGGTAGACGGAGCAGGAAATGTCACTCACTGACAAAATGTCAGAAGGTGGAACAGCTGTCTGCTTCGCTGGGATCTGAACTTTCCAAGGTTTTTAATGTGCAGCTGCAGTGACTAGAAAGAGAACTGGACATTGTGAACATTATGGACTGTAATGTTTTTTACACAAAGACGTAAAAACAAAGTAAACTGATTTTGAAGGTCTCTGCTCGACAATCACATCAAACATGATGGAGAACAGACCAGTGTCATTAAAATCAAATGAGACATTCGATTCTATTTCAGTGTTTTTGTTTAGGTTTAAGTTAAAGGGTTTAATAAAAATGTTTTATGCAGAGAGAAAAAAGCAGCAGTTTCATAATGGAGTTTGGTCTTCGTCTGTGGTATCTGGGTAGTAACATGTAATGTAATGTCGCCCTCTTGTGTCAGACTTATATTATGCACTGTAACTTGCACTAACTGATGATTTTGTTCTTTTTACCAGGGTATTACATATGATTCAGAATGACTAATAATTATAAGAAGAATAGGCGTAAAACATCCCCTGCCTTGATATAATTTACAGAACTCATTCAGAAGCTGTATCTAGGTATATATAACATTTGACAGCTTTTTTTTTTATCAGTGGGCAATCTGAAAATGCTGTGGACTGATTTTACGACAATCAGCTCCAGATCAACCACTGATACTTTGAGCCTGTAACTGGGAACCATCTATGACCATTTACTTCATTATTATAAAAAGAAAACATTTTTAGGACAACTGCAGTAAATAGCTTTTTTCATATGGATACTTGATTTCCAACACAAGAGTATTTTCCCTTACTTCAATGGCCAGAACCATTGACAAGAAGGTCAGGGGTTTGATTCCCTGAATCCCAAATTTATTGATACATGCCTCAAACAAAGCTTGTATTTTGGGAAACAAGCAGTTTACACATTACTTGTACCATGTGATTATTAATCACTGGATGTAGCCAGTCTGTCTTGGTGAGTGACCAACTCACCAAATAACAAGCATTCTAGTTCAAACTGGACTGAACTGATCTTTGCTACTTTGACTATATAAATAACTGATTTCACTGAATCTCTACTTCTGTACAAAGGATCAATCAGTCCATCTATACATCTACATTTCAAAAACAAAGACACAACATGACAACAGGGTTACTTATTTAAAACTTTAATGTCATGCAAATGAATTCCAATAATCATATCAGCAATTA